TCTCATTTAACACTAGAATGACATGTGAATAGGATATTTGAGTTGTCTTGATGCATGTCGTTCACTTTTTTCAATCTCACTTTCATCTCACTTAGAATATGTGTTGTCCTCTTGCTGTTCATGTGTCTCTGTGCTGCTTTTTCCTGCCTTTCTTCTGATCCACCAGCCTTTTGCAGCTGATGGCTGCCCCTCCCTGAGTTTTGTTGAAGTGCCCGACAAAGCCAGGAGGTTCCTGCCCCTGTTGTTAAATGTGTGCACATAGATGATCTACTGATCCTATTTGATCTTGCATAGTATCCTTTATAGGAGTCACCTTTACTGCTCGTGGTGTAAGAGACATTTTTAAGCTTTCTTACTTTCTCGACTGAGATCCAAGTAAAAAGTTTAGAAATGTGTTTAAAACAGAACAAAATTGTGTCTTCTACACAATTTCAATTAATTCTGTGTCCTGTTTTTATATAATACAGTCTTCCTAAAAACCTTTTAAAGAACCTTTGCATTTTCAGTTCTCAGTTTTGCTAAATAAGGTTTCTAGCAACACCTTGCACTTGATTAAATGTTGTTTGTGAGATTATGTCACCTGTCATGCTGGATGGATTGGCCATTAAAAAAAGTGTAGACATCAATATGATGTAACAGATGGTGGTGCAGAGCACTTTGAGCATACTGTTAATTTCAACATTAAGCTATAATTGCACAGGCGACCCAACTAAAATTATCATAGCAGAATGAAGAGAGTTAATTTTAGTCAATTTCCAAGACAGATTTGTAGCAATACTTTATCTGGTATCACTCCTGTGGGAAATAAAACTGCAGTTCTATCCCCTCTGAAAGACAGCCTCTCCTCCAATATTTTTGGTCATTCAGTGTATTTCACCATATCCCATAAAGGTTTGTTTTTTTTTCATTTCATATGTACAGAAAGTATTACATAAAAAATAGTGCCACAACTGCTACATTGCAGGTAACTATGTCGACTCCAGACTGCTAATTAACACAAAACATTCATATCAACAAATTTGCTGCAAAGACTAGTCAAGCAGTCTTGGCATCCGGGGGTCAGTCCGCCAGGGCCTCCGCTCCTGGCCGCCACCCGGCACACAATGCACCCGACTCCTATGGCGCCTCCTGCGGGTGGTGGGCCTGCAGGAGGATGGGCCCATGTCTCCTCTTCGGGCTGTGTGAAGCTCTCAATTTACCGGTCGATCTACGTCTCTACCCTCACCTATGGCCACGAGCTGTGGGTAGTGACCGAAAGAACGAGATCGCGGATACAAGCGGCAGAAATGAGCTTCCTCCGAAGGGTGGCTGGCCTCTCCCTTAGAGATAGCGTGAGAAGTTCGGCCATCCGGGAGGGGCTCAGAGTAGAGCAGCTGCTGCTCCACATCGAAAGGAGCCAGCTGAGGTGGTTCGGGCATCTGACAAGGATGCCCCCTGGGCGCCTCCTGGGTGAGGTGTTCCAGGCATGTCCCACCGGGAGGAGGCCCCGGGGCAGACCCAGGACACGCTGGAGAGATTATATCTCTCGGCTGGCCTAGGAACGCCTTGGTGTTCCCCCGGATAAGCTGGAGGAGGTGGCTGGGGAGAGGGAGGTCTGGGCCTCTTTGCTTAGGCTGCTGCCCCCGCGACCCGGCCTCGGATAAAGCGGATGAAGATGGATGGATGGATGGACTAGTCAAGCAGATTTGGATGTTTTCCACTGGCATAAATATTTTTTCAAATATTCAACTTCATTCCATGTCATTATCCCTCCAACATCTGCATTATGTAAGAAAACTGTATGTTTGTAATAGTAATTGCCCAGTAGCTGTAGCATATCTGAAAAGCCCCTGTTTATATGTGTTGTGACGGCAAGAGAAATACGAAAGCAAATATAAGATTTTTGGAGAATTATGCTTCAAAAGTAAACCAAACAAAGGATACAGTTGTGTCATAATGTTCTGAGTTTATCCCAACATGCCTCTGCCATGGTCGCCATGGTTGTTTCTTTTCTTTTCTCTCTCTCTCTTTCACTTGGCATGTTTGTGTGAGTATGTTGTCGGTTAGCACTCTTGTGGGAACTCTAGAAGTATGGTGCTCAATCTATGTTGCATAGCAATCTATGTTGGATGACACACACCTGCTGCCCATTTCCCTCATCACCTGCTGGTGTTTTTAAAGTCCAGTTCTTCATCTCCATCTTTGCCAGATCATATAGCTTTACTCACAGTAGCATTATTCTCATCTAGCTCTATGTTTCGTACTTCCTGGTGCTTACCATTTGCTCTTCTCTCCTCTTCCCCGAAATCTTCAGTGTGTCATCCAGTTGCTCGTGGCAGTTTTGGAAACTCTGTGGCTTGGTCAAACTAATTGGATTGTGATACAGACTGGGAATACTAACCTGCCTGCCTACTCACTCACCAGCTGTCTAGCCTCTTCTTGTGCTAGGAAAGCTCAATAAAATTATTATTATTGCAGATCTCAGCTGCTGTAAATAAACCTATTGAACTGTTAGTGAGGTCTGTGCTTGGTTCCATCTGGTCAATTACAGAATATCAGGCATATATGAAACATAGACGTGGCTTCCAGATTAGAGAAATTAAGACACTGCAAAAGTGCCTGCATTCTATCTGAAGGCCACCAGATGGCAATAGCTGTAGTTGCAAATTGATATACAGGTGTTTATGGGAAAACAGCTTTGTGCCTTGACCTCTGTGAACACTTTCTTGTTGAGTTTATGTGCTCAGTCACTCATTTGTGGCCATACTGAATATAATAATTAAGTCTAGTTTGTAAATGTTGAGCATCCTAAATTTCTAAATGGACACAGGTCTGTAACAAAAAAAAAACTCCATAGGATTTTTTGACTGTCTTATAAATTTTTACCCACTGAAACCAGGAAAAATATTTTAAAAATCCCGTCTCATCAGGTTTTTTTTTGCAAAACTTGTGTTTTTAGTTTAATTAAGCGAACAAGTTTCCTTTTTGAACTGAAATCTGGTATCCTATACTTGAGTCAAAAAACATATCCAATAATGATTTCTTGCATTAATTTAATATTTCTAAGAGCGAGACTCAAAAGAAATACAGAAATATAGTTAATTGTAATAAAATATTGATTTTTTCATCGCATTCCTCATGTTTTGAAAAAAAACTGCATGTGATGGAGGAAAATGGAGATCATTTTTGGATTCAGCACCCTAAAATCTTCATCAAATCTACCAAAAACATCCCATGCAGTTGAAAAAAAAAATGTTTTTGCAGACGTGTGTTATGTGTTGTATGAAAACAAATATTAGTTAATGACTTTTCATTTACTGTATAATGTTGTCCACCTTTAATACTGTCTAGTGTAACCATAATAGCAATCTTCTATAACCATAGTACTTTAGTTCTACTATGTAGAAACAATTTCAGTGTGATATCAGTTCAGTATCAGTTCAATGTCTGCCAGAAAGTATAAAACTACAGAATCCTTTCACATGAAATGACCTGAAGGTAATAATAGGATGAATTAACAGTTAATTTAACTTTTGCATTCATTGACATATAAATAGCAAACACTGACACTCATAGTCTAAAGAAATGTGCACAATAATTGACCGTTGGGATGGTGTTTTATGCTCTCGTAATTTCATGAGCCACCACTTAAGCATCATTTTTCAAAAACACCTCGCTGATAAGCAACTATAAATCTGACAAAATTCCACATACCTTTCTTTTTCACTCCCACTTTGGTTCCAACAGTGAAAATTTGGCCACAGTCTCATGGCATGTATTTAGATGTTGAGGGAATTCTTTTTTAAAGCTTTTCAGACTGTGCTGCTCATGGATAAATGATGGTTCTCCTTTTCTTAAAATGTGATGGCAAGGACTCCTGACTGATACATGACAGGTCAGGTCGCTGTATGATTGCAGCATAATACCAAAAACGGTATAAGCTGTGTCACCTTCAAACAGCAGGTCTATCAAAAGAGCGGTCCAGATGTCAATCATTCACAGTATGCACACACCCACACAGGTTTGAGAATAGGACCAATCAGACAAAATAAGCAGAAACACATGTGTGGGTGGGCCATGGGTAAGAAGAAGCTTTAATTCTGTTCCAGAGTACATTCACTGTGATTCAGTGCTTCACAACACACCCCTGCAATATATGACAGCCTAAATTTTGGATTACAACTATAAACTTTTGGTTCATTTTGTCAAATTATAGGTTTTCAGTATTGTGTAGTAACACAGAACGTACAACCAGAAGCAATCCATTGTGAGGCATTACTTGATTCTTTTGTTACATCATTGCTGCGCAGCGCTGCTAGTCAACTGCTGTCTGTTTGCTCTCCATTTTATTTCTTTTCCACCTACTTTGTTTGAATAGATCCATAATTTCTACTTGTCTTGTCTCTGGTTTTATGTTTTGTGGATTCCACCTTCGGTTTCTATCTACACACACTCTAAAAAATATTCATGGTGTTTGTAGGTAGAACTTAACAAAAAAGCATTTTTCTACTTAAAAAAGTAAGTTGACTACATGTACACGTTTCAGTGAGTTGACTAATCAATGTTAAAAGTCAGTGCAACACAGAAATTAATAAACACCTCCTTAACTTAAATGTTTTAGTATATTGAACAAAATACTTTTGTCATCAATCAACAACAGAAAATATTAAGTTTGTGTAACATGTAAAAGTGAGTTTGAACATCCTTCATGTTTGAACTGCCCATAACTGGACCATAACGAAAAAATTATTACAACTGCCATAAAAAAGAAGAAACGGAAAAAAACTGAGGTTGGCACCACTACCTGGTAAGTTTCTTGTTTTATACTCTTTTATAAATATGTACTAGGTACAGGAATTTACTGCGTAAATTTAGTCTGACAATGGCAGCTACATGATGTGAATTGACACTCTGTGTTATGCTAGTTGTTACTCTATAAAAGTAAAAGCATTTGAATTTTTTCCTGTTATTAATGAAATCTGTCAATTAAATCTGTCACTCTGGTGGTTACTTTGGTTAGCCATAGGTGTGTATGAGACCATGCATACAGCAGAGGGTAACCCCGTAGCATATGTTCGTATCATCACAGGTGTAGCAGTTGTCTGCATTCTTATCACTTTGTGGGAGTAGAGGTGTGTTTCACCTAGACTGTGTTCGGTGAGTTAACTAAGCATTGAATTCTAAATAGATTAATTACAAGTTATATTTGTACACTTTAAATTCGATGGTTTTAATCATAGTTTAACTTTAGCAACTTTACTATGCTAAAGTTGTTAGCTAGCTTTCTTTTAGCTAGCAAACGTTCCTCGCAAATACGAGAGTACATTGTCAATTTTTCTACTTATACTTAAAGTTTGTCACTTGTCAGGGTGCATTTGGTTAGCTGATAGACCTTGCAGACAGCAGAGCATGTTCAATTTGAACCTGTATATGTTCAAATTTACCAGTCAGCAGCTGCCTGCATTTTTACTATGGTGTCAGAGTAAATTTGTGTTTCCACGGTCTTGGGTGAGGTAACTAATTACTGACAGAGTGAAATGTGGTGAATTTATGCCAGAGTATTTATGTGAGTTAAAGTATTTCTATCAAATGTATTGATATTTTAAGCTCGAATGTGAAATATGCCTGAGGTTAAAGTTAGTTGACCTAGCAAGAAAAAACAAAATTGTGTGTGTGCACACACGAATTGCTTTTGTTACCTTCTGTAATTTTAAGCATAATGTGAAGTGTGGTATTGTGGCATGTCAACAGTGGTCTTCAAATAATTAAATAGAAAATTCTCTCACACATTTGGATATGACACAATTTTTCCAATTTTAAACTACAGTCTGTAGATTTATTATATTATTTTTGAATTTTGGATTCATCTTTTCAGTGTTTCATTGTAGTGTATTAGAGAAGGTTTTATACTTAAAATAACTTGTTAACTCAAAAGCCTCGATAAGTCTTTGCATTACCAAAAGTTGCAATAAATTTCAAAATGCACTGGACTTGTAAAATTTGCAAATTTGAAACACCAAGAAGGAAACAGCTCTTAAAGCATTACAGGCTTAGACATAGCCATGGTGAACTATTTATGCCTTGTCTATACTGGGATTGTTACTGCTCATTTAAAACATGGAATAGCTTGCGAACCCATTTATCAAGAAGCCATTCATCCTCTGATACAATGACATGCTCAGAAGTCTTGTCTTTCAAATGTCCATGTTGCTCTTTAAGCACATTTTCAACTCAAAGGGAATATTTTAAGCATATTGGGCACCATTTAAAAAAACTGGAAACTGTCGCTTGTGTTTTTGAAAACTGTAACTTCAAAACAAACATTCATGACACACGTGCTTCTCATAGGAACCGAAAACACAATCCTCACTCATTGGATGACTTCAAGCCTGAGCTGATACAGAGGTGTGTCAATCGTTTGAATACAGGAGATGATCCTCTTGAGGAACATATTGAAAATCCATTGAGTGAAGATGAAGCAAATGCAGAGGATGAAGAAATTGGTGAATTGCCTAATTTAATTGAGAAACATTTAGCCCACCTACTACTAAAACTGGAAAGTATATACAATGTTTCTCACAAGTGTATTGATGAGTTAGTTGAACAGTTACAATTCATTTCTTCCTCTGCTTCAGGTCCTATTCTAAAACAGATTTTACAGTTAAGCCTAAAGAAGCATAATTGTGCCTTTGATGATTTAGTGATTTCAGATATGGTTGCAGACCTCTGTCAGTGCAACCCACTCACATTGGCTTTTGGAAATAAAGGTCCTCTTTCTACCTCTTACAAAAGAAGCCAATATTTCAAGGAGCATTTTTGTTTGGTAGAACCCACTGAGTATTTGCTTAGTGTTGGGGAACGGAGAAGTTTCCAGTATGTACCTGTTTTAAAGTCGCTGAATGAAGTCTTGAAAAAGAAAGAGATCCAAGATTTCCTTACACAGACCTCAGAAATGGATTATAGCTCTGAAACACAATACACTTCATTTCATCATGGCACTAATTTTAAAAATAATCAACTGTTATCAGAAGAGAGTCCAGCCATTTCCCTCATTTTGTATGTGGATGAGTTTGAAGTGTGTAATCCACTTGGTACCTCAAGAAAAAAGCACAAAATTACAGCAGTGTATTGGGTTTTGGCTAATGTACCACCATTGCTCAGGTCCTCACTGACATCAATCTACCTAGCCATTCTATGCAAATCTGATGATATAAAACAGTTTGGTTACAGTGCTGTCTTTGAGCCACTCTTGAAAGATCTTGCATGCCTAGAAGAAGAAGGACTTTACATTCCCTCATTAGGCATATGCGTCAAAGGTACTGTGTTTTGTGTTGTTGCAGACAACCTTGGTGCACACTCTCTCGGAGGATTTGTGGAGAGTTTCTCAAGTGCGTATGTCTGCAGGTTTTGTCTTGGAGAACGAACCCAAATCCAAGTAAGTGACGTTCGAAGTGGAGCATTTAGTCAAAGAACAATACAAGAACACAGGGTACATGTTGACACTGCAAAAGGAGATAAAAGTCAGTCTCATTGTTACGGAGTAAAAAAACTTTGCCCACTGACTGAAAATCTAAAACATTTCGATGTTTTAACTGGCTATCCACCAGATTTGCTACATGATCTCTTTGAAGGTATTGTACCTTTGGAATTAGCACTTTGCCTTAGTACCTTAATCAAGGGAAAGTATTTTACTTTGGATGAGCTTAACAAATCAATTAAACAGTTTCCATACAGATGGGCTGATAGAACTAATGCCCCACAACCAGTTCCATTGAATTTTGCAACAAAAAAAACTGTTGGGGGAATGCGCATGAAAACTGGGCTTTGCTTCGCCTCCTCCCCCTTATAGTTGGGGAAAAAATACCAGAGAGTGAACCAACATGGCTGCTCCTTCTCAACCTTAAGGATATAGTTGAACTTGTCCTTTCATCTGTTCATACAGATTCAACCATTTGTTTTCTTGACAGCAAGATTTTCGAGCATCGGCAAAGATTTCAGGAAGCTTTCCCACAGGAAAGACTGATTCCAAAACATCATTTCCTAGAGCACTATCCACAACTCATAAAAGCTTTTGGTCCACTTGTTTTTCTGTGGACTATGCGTTTTGAAGCCAAGCACAGCTTTTTTAAGCGTGTGGTGAGGCATACTCGCTGTTTTCGAAACATTCTGTTGTCTCTATCAGTGAAGCATCAGTTAATGATTGCCTACCATCTACATGGAAATCAAACAGCCCAGCCTTCTTTACAGGTAACAAAACTATTAACAGTGAATTTGACTGTGCTGAGAGAAGACATTAGGAAAGCAGTGGAAAATAAGTTCCCCGGGGAGTCAAATGTCCAGATAGCAAATACTGTGTCTTACAGTGGCACCAGTTACACCACTGGAATGATCCTGGCACATGGATCAACAGGTGGTCTGCCAGATTTTGTAGAACTGATTCAGATGGTGGTAATTAATGGAAAAGTTGGCTTCATTGTGAAATGCTTAAATGCGTGGTATTCTGAACATTTCAGGAGCTTTGAGCTTGAAAACACTAGAAGTGTTAAAGTTATTGAGTCCTGTGATCTGTCTGATATTATCCCACTGGCAGCATACACTGTAGCAGGGAAGCGTATGGTGACCCTAAAGCATTACATCCATGTGCCATAGAAGGCAAGGTAGCCAATACAATACAGTATGGCCAAAGCTGCTTTATCTTCCTTGTATTAGTTTATCTTTATAGCTCAAATGGTAATGTTGTGGATAGTAATGTTTAATCAATAATTAGAGATTTAGTAGTACAACTATCTTGCTCTACCACAAGTCTGGAAGGCATTTTACACATGACTGATCTTCTCTGCAGAAGTATCTAGTTTCCAGGGTGATAGGAGGTATATTCCACCACAAGTAAAATTCAAAAGCTAAATTCTGTTTTGTTTTTTTGTTTTCCTTTTTATATAGGTACCTCAATGTCTCATCCTGCTAAACTTCGGATCATACTCAAAGAGCATAACATTCAAAAACTGGACTTACCACATGGAATCCCTGGAACAGTGGAAGAACTTGAATCTATTGTGAAAGAGACTTTTGAGGTTGATGGGAAGTTTACTTTGCACTATAAGGATGCTGACTTTGGAGAAGAATATTTTTCTCTGACATCAACAGGTGATATCAAGGACAAGGACACACTTAAGGTGGTTCAGATTATTGAACCTCCCACAATTACTCTGACATTTAGTGATGTAGACAGTTCCTTCAAATCTGCATCAGAGACCTTGGTCAATGCTTCAGCAATTTCAGAGACATCAGTCTCAGAGACATCAAGTGTGTCCTGTGGCACCAGTTGCTCATCCGGATCTCAGGATACAGTCATTCTTTCCTCACCTGAACATTTGAGTCGGCGTTTTCAGCGCTGGCCTACCAATTTTTCTGTTCCTCGCTTTGCTTATGACACAGAGCTTTTACTTGCTTCAGGAAATGAAACTTTCAAAAAGGATGGAACGAAACTTAACTTTACTCCACTTCTTCCAGACATCCTTGAGAAACTGGCTGAAACGATCTTTCAGTATGTTGCCTACCCAACATCTGCACAATTAGCAGATGTAGCTAAAGCACTTGTTCAACAACATCCTTGCCTTAAAGAACCGGGATCCTATAATGGATGCTATGGATGGCAACAAAGACTGAAATATAAAATGGGCAATTACAGAAGTAAACTCAGAGGGCTTGGGTGCCCTGAGCTGGATGTGAACTCTCTCAAAAGAAAGCAAGCACATGAGAAGACACCTTCAAAGAATCTCAAAAAGCCAAGAAAGGCTGAGGTGAACTATTTACCACCTCACCCACAAGGAGAAACAGAGGAAAGCTTGGAAAAGGAAAGATTGGAACTTCTTGATGAAGTGAAGAAGAGGAACAACTATCGGATCATCAGTGAAAAAATGGCCAAAACATTCTCGAATCGCAGACAGGAAGTTGTTAATCTGGCACCACCTGTGAATGACTTCAGAAGTAGATGGCCTGCGCTTTTTGATGCAGCACAGGTGATTTTATTACATAATTTATAGGATAACTTATAATAGTGACATTGTGCTTTTAATTGTGTCTTTTTTTTTATTTTTTACAGATAAATGATGAATTCCAAAGGATCACCACTGTTAACTTGGAAACAACATTCATGGCAAAACTGGACCAGTATTCCACAAGAATAATGTCCCTGGTCTCTTCAAAAGGCGGTGCTGCAAAAATTAAGATTGAGCGCATCAGGAACATGTTGCAAGAGGTAAAAAAAAGAAGCTGAATATAATTGATAATCTTACACACCTTAAAAGTTAATTATCTAATTCATTATCTCAGGAGCATTGTTGGCTATCTTTTACTGAAGAGTGAAAAAGTGAACATCAGAGGTGGACAGAGTAAAAATTTGCTAAAGAAAACATCACTCAAAATATATTTGCCTGTTTTCTTTGTTGTAAGAGTCAAGAATATAGTGATGCATTTGTAACTTGGTATCTCAGATTAAAGAGAAAAAGTAAAACTCAGATGCATAAGTATTTTGCACCTCATAAGTGAGATGAAAAGACATTAATGTAACTTTTGGTCACATAATTGCAAACTGAGGTAGGTAAATTTAAATAGGTACTTTCCATGTCACATGTAACTTGACAATACATTAAGGTAAGTATGGGTCATATTACAAATAATGTGAGGAGAAAAAAACTGAGGTAATAATTTGGAGTGTTACAAGTATGTTCATCAACTGCACAATAAACGTTTATGAGGAAGACAAGTTACACAAATACATTAAAGAGGGTAGATAGGAGCTTTTAATGTTTTAATCACATCATTACAAGACTTGCCCACAGGTGGCTTTTTCCAGTTCTGCATCACATATCTCACATATAACTATTATAGTTGAATCCATAGAACTCAACAAAAACTGTTTGAAATAGTCTCCAAATCTAGGTTATATTTACTTTCACTCACCTTATCCTACTGCTAGCAAAGGGTGCATTGAAAGCAGGGCAGTATGTAACAGATTAAATTCAAGTTATAAAAATTAAATTGTTTATTTGTTAAAAACAAAAATTAAATCAATAATTAGCAAAACGCTAGTCCTATGAATGTAATATGTTTGACTTTTCGCCTAGTAAACTTTTTTTTATTCTCCAGAGTTCGGTGGAAACAAGAAGAGAGGTCGCAATCCGTTGCCTGATGGTGTATCTGAAAGAGAAAGAAGAGGATCTCTTCAGAGAACAGCTGGTAGGTAAATATCACATTGTTTTGTGTTATATTTTTAAATGGCACATAAAATACTGACATGTTTCTTTTTAATCTACTTGCCAGGATGGTGAAGAACAGTTCCCAGAAGAAGTGGTAAAGATCGTAGTCACCAGACGTGCAGCAGTGTCTCTTCCAGCCGTCGCTAAAATTGTGATTGAAGGAACAGCTGTCCTGGAAGACCTTGATGTGCCCAGAGCATGTGCCTTAATGATGGGACTTATATACGCTCTCAATCTGAGCTACCCCAAACAAGTAAAGAACACTCTAGAGGTATTCCAGAAGGTGTTTCTGGAACTTGATGGGCTTAAAGCCAGCCCACGGGTAATGTCTCTTAAGTACAAACTTCTGTCATAAAACAAATGTAATTTAGGCTGCAATATTCAGATGTGCTGATGCTTGTGTTTTTTATGCAGTCTTAGACAAGTGTAGTTTTGAGAGTTCATAATGCGTATAACCTTACCTTTGAATTGTTGCGTTGTTAAATATTAAAATGTTTGGTAATTTTCTTGATTCTGTGATATTTACCAAGTTGATAGGTTAAAGTTAATGTTTAATAATAAGCAGATTTGCTAAAACAAATTGCCTTACGTTGCAATGTTTGTTTTCTGAGGTATTTTAGAAGGGTGTGATTTAAAATTATTGTTATTTGGAAGATTTTATATATATATTTGCTGCTTTATTTAATATACCTTTACAAATCTTTATAGTGGTTCTCAAAGTCGGTCATCAGGCCCCACTGCTCTGCTTGTTTCTGTTAATAACTAAACACTGTTGATTGGCTGGTGTGTTCAGTTAATCAGAAGTTGTAGACACCATTGTGGAGTAAGAAAAACGAAGTAAATTGGTATGTTTTAGCTTCTGATTCAACACACCTTGTCCAGTTAATAAACATGTTACATTTTCTTTTGTTACTGAGGTTGTTTGTGAAGGAATTGTACTGAAATACATTGTTTTTGCCCACTCATTTATAATTAAAGGGCTGCTGTAATGTTTGATTTATGTTGTATGACACAGAAGTGTATTTCTTCAAAAATGTTATGCAATAAACTGTTTCATCAGTTGGAATAATTTAAATGGCTATGTTTGCATGGATAATTGTGAGTAGGATATATGTAAAAAAGTAAGTTAGATTAACTCAGCTAATGTAATTTGTCAACTCAATATTTCCAGGAATTCTAAATTAATATTAGGTTGCTTAAACTTAATTATGCTTTTAGAGGTCAAAGTAAATCATGTTGGTTTGTTGAACCAGTTGAGTTAGCCAAACCTAAAAATTTCTTGCTGGATTTACTTAATAATATGCAAAATTTGTAACTTAAAAGCTAAGTGGAAATTGTTACCTCAATTTTTTTAAGTTAAGCCAACAAAACATTTTTTAGAGTGCAGTAAAAAAACGTTTCCAGTGAAAGTCCTGAACAGTCTGCCTCAGAGCCTGCAAGACTTCTGGCTCTTCTAAGACACAGACTCTAATAACTGATGAGTCAGTAATTAGAAATGTTAAAACAAGCTTATAGCCTGTTGTTTCCCAGAAGTCACTGTCCAAGATGTAAAAAAGCTGCTAAATTAGTTGGAAAGTGCCCAAGCTCTACAGAAGTCATTGTACTTGCAGAAGTAAAAGCATCCACAAAGAGCAATCTGAACTACTCAAAAAAGGCTCTGAACACCTGTTCTGCTCACTAAAGAGATGCGGGGCATTTTCATGTCTGGTCCCATCCCTGTCTGTGGTCATGGGGTTGGATGGTTCAGTAGGTTACTGTCACTGCACACTTGGCTTTCATCAGCCTGCGCTCTCCACAATATCTTCTTCATTGCCGATTTTAATCTCCTCTGGGAACTTAATTGGTTATTCAAATATGATGGCATGCATCATAATGGACTTGGAACAGAAGTTCTTTCTTTATATATTTCACATGGTGCTATAGAGTCAGATCCTTCTGTTTCAGCTGGCAAAATCAATTAATCATGGTCTACTTACTCTGACCAGTCCCGCTACTACTGACATCGTCTGGGTCTAATACCAGCCCTAATCAATCCCCATTTATTCCACTGGACTAGACATGACCCTGTGTTAACTTTATAAATTTCCATACTGGGAGCTCTTCCTCATATAACACGAAGCCAAGTATCTCTGATCCTTTGAACTCCTCACAGTCTACAGTTACCAGCATTTCACTCCATGGTAACTTTCTCCAGCCAGCAAGCAGATCTCAAAGACCCACTGCTCTTGTACACATTAAACCCCACTGCTGTCTTTGATTATTATTGTATACTTTCTGACTTTTACTGTTTATCTGTTAAACATATACCAGCTCTTTTATAACGAAGTTTTATATCCAGCCAGCACGGTTGAAACATTCAATGGCGAATTTTCAGAATACATGTTAACAGTACTGTCGTTGTGAGATGAAATAATAGACAATTTCTGTGCAATTTCTTAAATTATTGATAATGTTGCTCCTGTCAGAACTGCTAATTGACATAAATCTGCCACCAAAGCACACTTGTGAAACAGCATAAAAGATTTTTTTTTTAAAAAGAGAGAAAAAAATAAACTACCAAATAATGTTCAAATTATAAAAATGTACTTTATTGCTAAAACAATGAAATAAGGACAATCCTAGTCAGTCTAATTCAGTTTTTTTTATTATGCTTGTTTGTTTTTTACTATTAACTACTTGGTCCTTTCAAAACAGGGTTAATTGGATTTCTTTCAACAAATAGGTGTGACTAATTGGAGGTAATACAAGCACAAATGTTAACATTCTCACCTTTAAACTGCAAAGATCTGAAAAAAATGATTCATCAGCTGAAGTTTTGCATCCTCACCAAACTCAAATCTCATTTACAGATTTTTACAGATTATTTAGTAAATATTATCAGTATGCCTTTACAGGGAATTTTCCCTGTTTGTCTTAAATGTGCTTTAATCACACAGCTACTCAAGAAAAATAATTTACACCCATTGGTAATTAATAATTATAGACTCATTTCTAATCTCACATTTCTCTGCAAAATATTTGAAAAGAAAACTTACTAACAACTGAATTAGTACCTTTAAGGTGTTATTTATCATGAGTAAGTATCAATCACAACCAGTTTGGCTAAAGTCATCAATGGCCCGGAGTGTTTCAGCTTTAGTGCTGCTTGATCTCACTGCTTTTTTTGATCATGACATTAATTCAAAGGCTTCATGATTCAGTTGATTTAACAAGGTAGGTTCTTGATTGGTTCTCGTATGAAGGCCAGGTGGCGTTTATGTTTCAATTAGCAGTTTTAGATCTGCACAAATAAAAATTCAATCAGGAGTTCATCAATGGTCAGCCATGGTCCATTACTATTTAACCTTTACATGCTTGGTACTATAATAAGGAATCACGATATATACTACCATTCTTAGGCAGATAATACACTGCTGCGCTTATTGTTTTCCTCTGATGGACTAACCTCTGTTCACACAATAATGAGCTGCATTGAAAACATTAACTGCCGAATATTTTGAACATTTTTTAGAACTGAACAGAGACAAGACAGAAATATTTTTTCTACATCCATTAAGTCAGAGACAGAAAACAGTGTGCAAGCCAGGAACATTTTGAACAGATCTCATTTGCAAATCATATCAGTGAGGTTTCCAGAACTATTCAATTCAGTTTAATTTTATTTATGTAGCGCCAAATCACAACAACAGTCGCCTCAACAGAACTGTTTTCAATCACTTAAAAATATATCAAAACTCTATACTTTCATATCAAGCAGGTTAGATTATTGCAATGCTCTATCTGCTCTCCAAATCATCAATGGGACCACTTCAGCGTATTCAAACTGCAGCAGCCAGAGCCCTCACAGGTAAGCAGAAAATTTGACCATATCACCCAAGTAACTGAAATCACTCCATTGGCTCCCAGTGCATCAAAGAATTACCTTTAAAATCCTTTTATTAGTTCAAAAAGCTCTCAATGGTTCAGCTCCTGAGTACATCTCTGACTCGCTCCATCACTCTATAATCTAATCAGACCTCTCAGGTCATCAGGTAGAGATCCTTTAAATGTTCCCAGAATCAGATCCAAGTATTCTAATGGTGCTTTCATCTCTTGGTGTGTGTGTGTGTGTGTGTGTGTGTGTGTGTGTGTGTGTGTGTGTGTGTGTACCAGTATTTTTTTGTTTTTAACTTCTGTGTTAAGCACCAACACAACCTGAGAGGTCTTCACCAAAAAATAGCAAATTCCGAGCCAATGACTTCCAAGTAGGGAGTGTGTTTATGACTAACAGGGTTTTACTTTTTCAATTTCCAGCAACAACACCTGCAAGAAATTATTGAATCCAGACTAGGTCGTTACATAATGTATTAAAAAAAAAACCTTGAATTAATCAAGATTAATCTTCACTATGGCCCACCCAGTTTATGTTCATAAATAACTGACAAATATCCACAAAAAAGCCCTTTATTGAATAGTATCTGAACAAAAACCAAATAGCAAAGCATTTCTTTATCCATTTACATTTTATATTACTGTAGCACTGTCTGAAGCGTCACCTCAATGGGGAGAAATGAGCTAAATTTAGTCAAATAAAAGAACTTAAACAAGGTTCCTGAAAGACCGTGATCATAAAAACAGTGCTGAATGGTGCAGGAAGTGGAAAACAAACCACAAACCAAAATCTGCAACATCAATCCTTTGGAGTCAGCTGTCTCAGCATCATGCTGTCACTTCAGCATTTGAGAGTATAACAAATATCTTTCCAAAGCAAAGTGAACACATTGCAAATGTTAGGCTTGTTAAATTAAAGAAGCAAGGGGCAGCATATTTGGAAAAATAAAAAAAAATGTTTGGCACTATGCATATATAAAGAGAAATGAGCAACCGTTAAATCTGTCAAGTCTCATATGCTAAAAGATAAATAAGAGCTGAGGCCATTTATCAAAGCAATATATTGCATTTGAAGACACTTCATTTCCTTTTACGCATCAGTTTGATTCTACAGGCCACTTAAACTTACTGCAGCTTTTAGACAAAAAATAGCTTTTTCTTCACTACAGTGTTGCCAAGATCAGTTTCTGCAATTTACTGCATCAGCTGAAACACAGCACTTTTATGATGGTCCACCAGACCATCATAAAAGGCATTGCATGCACTCCAACCTTCTTTTTTTGTTTTCCAGCCACCAAAGCACCTTCTTCCTATTCTTCTCCTTTCCCTTTCTTCTCTTTGCACCCTGTCCTCTTGAAGGCCCCCCATTAGTTTTAGTTACTGTTGCTCTCTCTGTGTCTCAGATGGCGAATCAATACAAAATTGCCACTGGCATCACAGGATCCTCTTAGTCTCTGTGCTGATCATCTCCTCTTTTTATGGGCATCTGTATTAATTAGAGTAAGCTATGCTTACAGCCTCGATTGCATAATGAAGAATGGTGCAGACATGTAATGATTTATAATGGAAAAACACTGGCTGGTTTGTGCTTTCAATGAGCAAAAAAGTATTTGTACTCATTTCCAGTCAAGTATGTGATTGGTGTGTTTATTTAGTTAGACATTCATTTAATCTTTTTTGCTGTGAAAGCTAGCTCTTTGCTGGAGTCAATTAACTACAAAATCTTTCTAAAATCCCAGAAGCCAGAAGAGATTAAGTCCTTGATTTTTGTTTCACTTTGAGTTATACTCAACATACAGGATTGGAGCTACACATCTGGATTACATCCACCAAAGATGAATACATCAAAAATAACTTATTTTCTTTCTATTTTGGGCATCTGCGAGTCATCCTGAAAAATGTGTTTATTTATCTATTACGATTACTAATGTACTCATTAAAATGCT